GTAAACAAAATTGGTTTTAAACTAGACAGGCATGAGATAGGGTAACGTCCCGGAAGACTGGCTCCTATTCTGTAGACTCCAGTACTGACCTAGTGCATTCCCCGGTTCGTTCTCCAAAAAAGAAGACAGAAACTATTCAGCAGATTGGGTTTCTTGGGGTCACTAAGCGAGTGGACGGGACGACCAATCGCACTACCCAATCACCCCGTCTGTTACGTCAAGATTTTCCTTTTAATATTTCCCTCTATGTTTTTTCATTTTTTTTCCTCCTTAATCTATTATGTCCATCTATTTGAGTTAACCCTGAGGGGAATGGAAAGAAAAATTGGGTTGATGTGTAACAGTTGCTTGTGACTGGCGTGGAATTCTAGGCTAATTAAGAAAGAGAACATCTTGAAATTAGACAGCCTTGTTCAATATAGTTTTTTTATATCTTATAAGCTTCAGTTATGTGGCTTAATTAAAGATTTTTTTAAGAAACTTAATTTTAAAATTAATTAAATATTTTTATGTTTCTATATTAACATGTGCATACTTCTCAAAAACTAAGATGTGTGTGTGTGTGTGTGTGTGTGTAAGTGCGAGTGGGTGCGTGTGTGTGGATATTGCATATGATCTTTCGCTTGTAATCCTTATTTAACTTGATAAATACTTCTTGTAGAATGATGGTATTACTCAAGTAAAAATGTGTTCCAAAGCGTCAATCAAATTAAAATGTTACTTGATCTGTTCTGAGCTTGAGGCGGCCTCATGCCCATCCAGCTCTTAAAGGTACCTGACATGTCGTTGGGAAGACGACTAGGGGAGGGGTTAGAAGAGGCAAGGGACATATCACCTCTAGAAGAAGTAAAGCAATTCATATGAAATGAATCTCATAATCTCGATAAACTTGTAAAACATTGTGGTACATTTTTATGTTAATGAGGTGAATTTTTAATATTTTCATCAAACTCAAATAATTTCTACTTTACCATAAAGTCTTCACTGGTTTACTGAGCGTAACGTGAGAACTACTGCCACATGCGTCTAATCATGTAACGCACGTGAGAAGTTTAGTACACACAAAAATGTAATCATGCAATCTTGCTCGTGTTAGGGTTTAAATAAACGCTGATCAAATTATTTTTTAAACATGTTAGCATATGCTCTACACTCCAGAGATAAAAAATGTAGGCTAATTTCATAATAATTTTGCACATGTTTGAAAATTTAGATCATAACTCAGTTTAAAACTGTTCATATATCCCTTCATATCTAACATTAATCAGGTTTCTCTGTTTTCACTTCTCAATTTTCTGTACCGGGATATGAAGTAAAAATTGATTTACCGCACAAATACATACATATACACTCACACACATACTCTCGCACTCTCACGTATACATATACTCACACACACTCACACAAGCATACGTACATTCACTAACACACTCACACAAACTTGATCACACTCGCACACAGACATGCTCACGCATCAACAGGCTCACAAACAAACACAATCACAAACACACACACACACACACGCATACGTACATTCACAAACACACTCACCTACACACATGCTGACACTCCAACAGGTTCACAAACACACCCACACTCAAATACACACACACACACACACTCAATCAACCGCACAAAAAAGTAAATACTCGCTTACTAGGTCACTAAAAATAAAAATGAAAAAAAAACTCAATAACTAGCAACAATAAAAGCAAATGAAAGATGAGAATCAATAATCACTTCTCCTTAGGCTTATAATTTGCTTCATAACATATTGTAGTTTCTATTCAAACAGTAGAACATAAAAAATCACCAACCTAAAAAAATGGATCGTGTCCTTGTTTACAAGCTTCATAGAAAAGAGAAATAAAAAGAAAATGGCGGGCGTATAGCTAGTATCAATTTCACACCCTACAGGACGGGAGTCTGCAAAAAGTGTGTTATGATGTAACACCGTTGGCTATTCCAGAGAGAGTTACGTAATAAAATCACCCGTGCTAATCAGATCGGGTGAGTGTTCCCAGAGCAGGGTGGGTGGAATTTAATCTGGTGCTGGGTGGGTTTAGCGAAAATATGAGGGGAAATTAGGAGAAATGGTATGGTGATGGTCAAATTTGATGAACTTTTAGGTTTAGTGAAAATATGAGGGGAAATTAGGAGAAATGTTGTGGTCATGGTCAAATTTGATGAATTTTTAGGTTTAGTGAAAATATGAGGAGAAATTAGGGGAAATGTTGTGGTCATGGTCAAATTTGATGAATTTTTAGGTTTAGTGAAAATATGAGGGGAAATTATGGGAAATGGTATGGTCATGGTCAAATTTGAAATGTTAGGTTTAGTGAAAATATGATGGGACATTAGGAGAAATGGTATGGTGATGGTCAAATTTGAAATGTTAGGTTTAGTGAAAATATGAGGGGAAATTAGGAAGAATGGTATGGTGATGGTCAAATTTGAATAATTAAATGTTAATTAGGTTTTGTAAAAATAACAAAGAAAATTTCGACGAGTGTTGACGAACATTGGTTTAATGATGGCTAAATATGATGAAGTGTTGGGTGCGTTTGGTGATGTGCGAGCCAAAATTATGACAGTTAAAACAGGTATAAGGATTGCCAAATTTTACGAAATGTTTGGTGAAAAAATGCAACAAAATAACGAAAAATGTTGTTTAACACTTGTTTAATGATGGCCAAATAAGATAATCTGATGAGTAAGCTTAATGAAGAATAAATTATAATTGTAACAAGTGTTTATCCGATTAAGAATAATCTAAGATAAAACGTGTTTAGTGGTAAATGGTTTTCTATAGGTAAGCAGTGATCAGCTGAGTTTAAGGCAATATTTGTTTGATGTTGCCTAGGTTTCACTTTTGCTATATTTTCATATAACGTTTTATAGCCATACCATATGAACTTAAAACATCTGTATTATTTCTTTAAATGTTATACATGCTATGGTTTAGATACTTGGAATATTTTTATAATTAATTCAACTTATAATTTGTTTATTTTTTATTTATTTTTTATATTTTTGATAAAGCAAACGATAATATTGAATTTTAATACTTCAACCTTTAATATAAATTATTACTTTTGAAAGGTCATGAACTCTATGCTATGTGCTTGCTTTAAAGTATATGTATATTACACATACAGACAACACATTGTTAGAGTTAACGGTCAAAACTCACCAATGAACAATGTATACGTCAGCAGAAGAAGTCTAATCAACCATCTGATAAGCTGGCGCTGGGAAAGAGATAAAAAAGATAAAAGTAATAACCGGAAATAACAAAGATGGTAATAATAACTAAATCCGGTAAGCGGAAATATACCGAGGGTGAGTACAAAATCGATGAAAATGGCACGCTACTTGAACACAGATGATTTGATTTATTTTTGTTTTATTTAGATAACCCGGAATAGTGTTTTGATTGAATAACTGTTTTGAAAAAAAAAATTAATAAATAATAAACTAAAAATATAATAAAAAAGTTTTTCATAAGATGAATGCTTATTAAATAATCAATAATTTTAACTACCAAACTAAAATATTTTAAAGGTTTAGTTATAAATTGTCTGCGTTAAATTCAAAATCGATATGATATTTAAAATGTGTTTATAATTATTTTGACATTCCAACGTAGAGAAATCTGGCCAATTTATACTTTATCAGAAGTTGGCGATAGAACATCAAGTGGCGAGCTATGACATTTCAACATCCCCAGAAATTAGCCTTATCAAGGCCAGTAATCTGCCTCCAGAAATTTCAGCGGGAGAACTCAGTTAATTAGATTTTAATGTGACAGAATAATTACTAGCCCAGGAGCCGAATGTAGAATAAAATAAACCGGTAGTGATCTCCCCTAAACTTTCTCGAATATTCTTATATAAAACAACAAGGGGATGGTAACTGGGGATATAGTTATGATTTTTAATCCATTTTAAATACTAAAACTTTTAAAAATAGAATAGAATCTCAGTAAAAAACAATTGCGCACCAAGCGAACGCCTAATAAAGGTGTGTATAATAGTGCGCAATATTATTAGTACTTTTAAAATTTACATTAGTTTTTTGAGAAATCGGAAGTAGCGTAAATTACTACTTCCTGTCAACGGAAATTACTCAAAATTTAACAGAAGGTAGAGAATTAGATCTTTTACTTACATGTGAAATTTCATTTATCTATCTGAAATAGTACTCAAGTTATAGGCTTTTAAAAAATTCAAAGTAGGAAAAGTACCACTTCCGGTTATCGGAAATCGCTCAAAAGTTGATACGGATCTACGATTTTGATAAAATACTTATATATGAAATTTCATCAACCTAGCTGTAACGGTACTCAAGTTATCGTGTTTACACACGGACAGACAGACAGACAGACAGACACACACACACACAGACATACGGACAAGATTGCAAAATTATGTTTTTCCGTATCAGTGAGGTGTAAAACGTCGAGATTTGTAAAAATCTCGATTTTTTTTTTTTGCACGATTACAATACTTTCTCTATACTACGTATATACGAGAAAGTAAAAATGATGTTAATAAAACTTATAACTGTGGCATGTTCTTAGTATCTGTCACCTTTAGCTTGGCTCAGCAGATTAGCGGCACTTATCTGTACTTGCAACAGCGCTTCAAGGTAGGGCTAAGGGGGTTGGGGGTGGGGGATGGGGTGGAGTGGGGTGGGGTGGTGAGTATTCGAAGCTACTAATAATTAATAATTAAAATTGATTTCCCGGAAATGAGGCAGGATTGATTGCTAGAGTGACGAGATGCCAAAGAATTGGTACCTAATAATATTTCCAAAATATTTTATCAGAGGCTGCCCATCGTCTTGATTATGACGTCAATAAGATGTCCTAAATAGTTATGATGAGGTCAGCGAGACGGACCTTTAGTGAGACGGACCACCGCTGTGATTATAAATAGACAGATGGCCCACCGTTATGACTATAACAACAGATGGACCACCATCATGTTTATAACAGAATGCCCATGAGCATGATTATAGTAACAGAGGCCCACTATGATGACTATAACAACAGACGGCCCACCATCAACAGACGGCCCACCGTGATGATTATAACACCAACAGACGGCCCACCACCAACAGACGGCCCACCATCAACAGACGGCCCACCATCAACAGACGGCCCACCATCAACAGACGGCCCACCATCAACAGACTGCCCACCATCAACATACTGCCCACCACCAACAGACGGCCCACCACCAACAGACGGCCCACCATCAACAGACTGCCCACCATCAACAGACGGCCCACCATCAACAGACTGCCCACCATCAACAGACGTCACACCATCAACAGACGGCCCACCATCAACAGACGGCCCACCATCAACAGACGGCCCACCATCAACAGACTGCCCACCGTCACGATTACATCTGTAGACGGACCCAAATCGTGATCTTAACGTCGGCTAGACGCTGAAGATCTAGAGGGAAATAAAACGTTATCGATCCAATCCCGGTCGTTTTGACTTAGTAAAAAACCAACTTTGTGTGTACAATAAAACCGGGTCATTTTGACCCATGTTTGCAATATACACTTGACTGCATTCAGGTGGATTTTCCTTCCAACTTTTTTTTTTACATACTTTTTATTTTTAATATTTAACCGCCGTAAGAATTAACAACGTAATGCAAATAATATGTGTCATTGAAACAGTTATTTGATATTTTTAAAACACAACTTTATGGTTCTTTTTTTTACTTATCTATTTTATTCCTTCGTAACGCAAACCCCAACACATAAGGGGTTATCATTAAATGCCGTCATGCTCTGTTGGAAGATTTTTCCCTCCCCATCCCTATTTCACATATCGTCACAAAATCCAGACGCAGTTTTCGAAAACTCTCGAAACAACGACTAAAATTCGTTTTTTGATATTTTTTTATAGTGCAAAAAGTGTGACGTCATACTATTTGAACTCCCCACCCCCTAATTCCCCCACATCACATTCCGTCATAAAACACTCCCGTGTGAGATCATATACTGACGACCCCCTAATACGATATTACCAAGAGAGTTTAATAATTCTGTACTATTTATAGTATGTCTAGGATCTAACGTCACACTATTGTCTCTCCCATCGATAAGAAACATAATGCATCGTACGACGACAGTATTGAGCAAGCACGTAATATCTCAATCAAAGGTTACCGTAAAGGTTATAAGGGATAAATGAATAGTTCGACAGCGCCCTCTACTTCCACGGACGGAAACTGGCTACCAGAGTGGAAGTATTTTTTTTTTACGACATTGTTCTTTGTCTGGAGAAAATCGCTAGCTTAAATGTTAAAGCGTGATATATCAGGTGCTACGCGTCGTCGTAGACAGAGGTCAGAATATTGACACGTGTCTATGTGTTTGACTAGACGATTGGGTCAAGTTGCTGTTTCGGTTTTAGAATATTTTTTTGTTAATTTTATTTTCAGAACTGATGTATAATAATAGTACATTGTTTAATAATGACATCAGTAAGACAGGCTATATTAAAATGACGTCAGTGGAACAGTTCAATTTTCTGATAATGAAAGCAGTGAAACAGTCCACATTTGTAATTATTACGTCAGTTAGGCGGATGACATTTGTGATTATGACGTCAGGCGGATGACATATGTGATTATGACGTCAGGCGGATCACATTTGTGATGGTCTGAAACTCCTGAGCCTGCTGACGCGTCAAATTGAAACTTAAAAAAAAACGGATGAGTCTCAGCTTGGCGAAATGTGTTGACTTCTTCGCTTGATATGTATTTTTTCGGGCTAACTTCGTCAAGCAATACAGATTTTCTAGGATAACAGTCGAAACTTCCGATAACTATTTCTTAATGGTGTGTCTCCAAGGTGGTCTGGTGAAAAGGGGAGGGGGGATTTCACTCCCATTTCCGGAGGAAATAGAAAAAATATAATTTATCTTTAAAATATACTTTAATCAGAGTCCCAGCAACACTACCATAACCCTGGACATTTGTTAAGGCCACTGGAAGTTTCAAGTGCCCCCCCCCCCCCCTCCCGCCACATTGAAAAAATGTCTGGAAAAATCCTGAAACTCGGTTCGGTCAAAGCCCGATGAACATATGTCTAAATACATAATAAAACTGGGCTAACCACCTTATATAAACTGGGCTAAGACATCTCTAAACACCTAATATAAACTGGACGAACACATCTCTAGACACCTAATATAAACTGGACTAACACATCTCTAGACACCTAATATAAACTGGACTAACACATCTCTAGACACCTAATATAAACTGGACTAACACATCTCTAGACACCTTATAAAACTGGGCTAACACATCTCTAGACACCTTATAAAACTGGACTAACACATCTCTAGACACCTAATATAAACTGGACTAACACATCTCTAGACACCTTATAAAACTGGGCTAACACATCTCTAGACACCTTATAAAACTGGACTAACACATCTCTAGACACCTAATATAAACTGGACTAACACATCTCTAGACACCTTATATAACTGGACTAACACATCTCTAGACACCTAATATAAACTGGACTAACACATCTCTAGACACCTTATAAAACTGGACTAACACATCTCTAGACACCTAATATAAACTGGACTAACACATCTCTAGACACCTTATAAAACTGGGCTAACACATCTCTAGACACCTTATAAAACTGGACTAACACATCTCTAGACACCTAATATAAACTGGACTAACACATCTCTAGACACCTAATATAAACTGGACTAACACATCTCTAGACACCTAATATAAACTGGACTAACACATCTCTAGACACCTAATATAAACTGGGCTAACACATCTCTAGACACCTTATAAAACTGGACTAACACATCTCTAGATACCTAATATAAACTGGACTAACACATCTCTAAACACCTAATATAAACTGGACTAACACATCTCTAGACACCTAATATAAACTGGACTAACACATCTCTAGACACCTTATATAAACTGGGCTAACACATCTCTAGACACCTAATATAAACTGGACTAACACATCTCTAGACACCTAATATAAACTGGACTAACACATCTCTAGACACCTAATATAAACTGGACTAACACATCTCTAGACACCTAATATAAACTGGACTAACACATCTCTAGACACCTAATATAAACTGGGCTAACACATCTCTAGACACCTTATAAAACTGGACTAACACATCTCTAGACACCTAATATACACTGGGCTAACACATCTCTAGACACCTTATAAAACTGGACTAACACATCTCTAGACACCTAATATAAACTGGACGAACACATCTCTAGACACCTTATATAAACTGGGCTAACACATCTCTAGACACCTAATATAAACTGGACTAACACATCTCTAGACACCTAATATAAACTGGACTAACACATCTCTAGACACCTAATATAAACTGGACTAACACATCTCTAGACACCTAATATAAACTGGACTAACACATCTCTAGACACCTAATATAAACTGGGCTAACACATCTCTAGACACCTTATAAAACTGGACTAACACATCTCTAGATACCTAATATAAACTGGGCTAACACATCTCTAGACACCTTATAAAACTGGACTAACACATCTCTAGACACCTAATATAAACTGGACTAACACATCTCTAGACACCTAATATAAACTGGGCTAACACATCTCTAGACACCTTATAAAACTGGGCTAACACATCTCTAGACACCTTATAAAACTGGACTAACACATCTCTAGACACCTAATATAAACTGGACTAACACATCTCTAGACACCTAATATAAACTGGGCTAACACATCTCTAGACACCTTATAAAACTGGACTAACACATCTCTAGACACCTAATATAAACTGGGCTAACACATCTCTAGACCCCTTATAAAACTGGGCTAACACATCTCTAGACACCTTATAAAACTGGACTAACACATCTCTAGACACCTAATATAAACTGGGCTAACACATCTCTAGACACCTTATAAAACTGGGCTAACACATCTCTAGACACCTTATAAAACTGGACTAACACATCTCTAGACACCTAATATAAACTGGACTAACACATCTCTAGACACCTAATATAAACTGGGCTAACACATCTCTAGACACCTTATAAAACTGGACTAACACATCTCTAGACACCTAATATAAACTGGGCTAACACATCTCTAGACACCTTATAAAACTGGACTAACACATCTCTAGACACCTAATATAAACTGGGCTAACACATCTCTAGACACCTTATAAAACTGGGCTAACACATCTCTAGACACCTTATAAAACTGGACTAACACATCTCTAGACACCTAATATAAACTGGGCTAACACATCTCTAGACACCTTATAAAACTGGGCTAACACATCTCTAGACACCTTATAAAACTGGACTAACACATCTCTAGACACCTAATATAAACTGGACTAACACATCTCTAGACACCTAATATAAACTGGGCTAACACATCTCTAGACACCTTATAAAACTGGACTAACACATCTCTAGACACCTAATATAAACTGGGCTAACACATCTCTAGACACCTTATAAAACTGGACTAACACATCTCTAGACACCTAATATAAACTGGGCTAACACATCTCTAGACACCTTATAAAACTGGGCTAACACATCTCTAGACACCTTATAAAACTGGACTAACACATCTCTAGACACCTAATATAAACTGGACTAACACATCTCTAGACACCTTATATAAACTGGGCTAACACATCTCTAGACACCTAATATAAACTGGACTAACACATCTCTAGACACCTTATATAAACTGGGCTAACACATCTCTAGACACCTAATATAAACTGGGCTAACACATCTCTAGACACCTTATATAAACTGGGCTAACACATCTCTAGACACCTTATATAAACTGGGCTAACACATCTCTAGACACCTAATATAAACTGGGCTAACACATCTCTAGACACCTTATATAAACTGGGCTAACACATCTCTAGACACCTTATATAAACTGGACTAACACATCTGTAAACACCTTATATAAACTGGGCTAACACATCTCTAGACACCTTATATAAACTGGGCTAACACATCTGTAAACACCTTATATAAACTGGGCTAACACATCTCTAGACACCTTATATAAACTGGGCTAACACATCTCTAGACACCTAATATAAACTGGGCTAACACATCTCTAGACACCTTATATAAACTGGGCTAACACATCTCTAGACACCTTATATAAACTGGGCTAACACATCTCTAGACACCTAATATAAACTGGGCTAACACATCTCTAGACACCTTATATAAACTGGGCTAACACATCTCTAGACACCTTATATAAACTGGACTAACACATCTGTAAACACCTTATATAAACTGGGCTAACACATCTCTAGACACCTTATA